AGACAGTACTGCTTGAGGAAAAGTGAAATTGAGAAATTCTGTTGACTCATTTACTAAGAGTACAGGAAAATTTCCTCATGTGTTTAGATATATTTCATCCTCTTTCCAACTAGCTATTCAGCAAACTGGGGGAGAGGAGGAAGCTGCTGCTTATATCTTGGAAGAACACTGGATGCAATCAGTGGGATTTGATGTGGTTCTGGTATCTGCCAGAATGTTAACTAACTCTGAACCCAAACCACAGCTTCAATTATCTTTTTCTTTTCCCTCTCTCTTCCTTTTTTGAGACAGGGTCTTGCTATGTAGTTCTGGCTGACCTCAAACTCAAGGCAATCCTCCTGCTTCAGCCTTCCCAAGTGCTGGAATTACAGGCATGTACCACCACGTCCAGCTCTTTTTTAAAAAGACTGTTTCCATTCTATTTCTGATCTTGTATATTTTTCCTCCTTCTTTGTTCTTCCCCGAGACAAGGATTCTAGACTGGGATTATAGGCTTGTGCCACAGGTGAATCCTCAATTTTAAGGCTATCTTTTTATGTTTGGAGTTCAATAAACATATAGAGTAAAATTTTAGTTCAGTTACTGTTCCACTAGAAGACATTGCCTATAGTGACATCACTTTTCCTATACCATTACTAAGCATATGCTCACTGCAGAATTCTAAACAGATTTGTAGACTCTGTTGCTTCTAAAGCTCCTGGTGCTTCACAGGGTAGGGTACTGCACATCTGTGGGTCTGTTCAGGCCATCACTGCCTCCCTTGTCTCACAACTGAAAGCAAGATGTTAGTGGCAGATGAAGAAGTGGTTGCTGTGCCACCCCACGCATACTTTATATTGCACCAATGCTGAGGCTCACATTGTGCTACAGAAAGGTAAGAGAAAGCAAAACTCAAGTGAGCTATAGATGTTCAAAACTGTAGAGTGAGAAGGTCAACAGCTACAAAATGAGAAAAGTAACCAGGGTCTCTATTGAACAACTAACACATGTCCTACTTATCTCAGAAAATTCACAGGACTACTGCTCAGGAAGACTAAAATGAATATCGAACTCTATTTTATGTTAAAATAAATGTTAGGTACAGATTTTAGAGTAGGACACACATTTTTGTACATGTACTGCTGAAGTGGGCATGAGGACATACATTCTGGATTCTAGAATGCTGTTTTAGGTTCAGGAGGAAAAGACTACCTTTCACCAGGAGATATCCTATTATCTCTCTAAACTCTGACTCCTTTCCTCCCCAACTTATACAGTACCTCATTAAGAAATGTGTGTTGTACATTCCAAAGTTGATATATTCCAAATTCCTTTATAGTACAGGGCTTGGCTATCATAATGATGAAATGAAATTATAAATAAATCCCCAACACCTGAAAAGTACTTCACTCAACAAAAGAAAAAGGAATGATATAGGCACTACTTTGGCCTGCTCTCCATTAAAACGCCACGGAGGAGGTACTCTAGTTCTTTATGTTCAGATAAAGATGGCCCGCCCAGTCCAGGGCTGGGGATGTGGCTCAGTGGTAGACAGAGCTCTTGCCTTGCACAATAAGCCCCTAGATTTGAGGCCCAGCAACACACACACACACACACACACACACACACACACACACTGATGGCTCAGTTCATTAGTGTATTAAACATCCTCCAAACTCTGGCTACAAAACCCAAGTATAGATTTCTGCCTCCCCTGACTACCAGGTATCTCCAAAAGTCCCTGGCTTGGGGAAACTAATATGTAGTGGAAGGACTATGACTAAAGATCTCAGCTACCCTCTCAAAGTTTCCATGACCTCAAACTAATTAAGTCAATTGGATTAGGTAAGCAATTTACACTTTATATAATGGAAGCTTAGATGAAAGAACACAATTTCATACTTGTTACTTGGTTTAAGCTTGCTTATGAAGGAAACTATTTATTTATATATTGTTATTTTTTTATTTTTCAAGACAGGGTCTCACTATGTCATTCAGGCTGGCCTTGAACTCACTATGTTTGTTGCCTAGGCTGGCTATCCTCCCAGCTCTGCTTCATGAGGGCTGAGATTAGAGAAATGCACCACTATGACCAGCTAACGTTAGTGTTTTTTTTTTTTTTTTTTTTTTAAGATAGGGTCTCACTAGATAGTGTAAGCTGGCCTTGCATGCTGGTGTTGAACTTGTTTACATAGCTCCAGTTGGCATTGAACTCACAATGATTTTCCTGCCTCAGCTCCCAGAATCCTGGGTTTAAAGGCGTGCATCACCATGCCTAGCTAACTTTACAGGTTTTTTTTTTTTTTCTCTTTTTAATTTTTATTTATTTATTTTTTACTGGACTCTTCTCTTTTTCAGTACTGGGGATCAAACGCAGGACCTTGTGCTTGTCAGACAGGTGCTTCAGTCACTGAGCTATTTCCCCAGCCCTATCTTACAGTCCTTAAGCAAAATTTAAACTCAAATTTATTTATCTATTTATTTTTTGGTTTGCCATTGTGCCACTGAGATATAACCCTGGCTAAAGTCAAATTTAAAAATATTAGCCTCAATCAAAACAATAAAAGATGGGGGAGGGGAGAAAGAAAAAGAGGGAAGGGGAGAAGGGGATATAATATATATATATATATAATATAGTCCTAGACAGACATATCTCCTTGAAATCCTGATGGTAACCTTAGAAATAAACTTGAAAATTTTTATTTTTTATTTATTTATTTTTTTGGCGGAGCCGGGGATTGAACTCAGGCACTTGAGCTTGCCAGGCAAGCGATTACTCAACTGAGCTATCTCCCCAGCCCCTTAAACTTGAAAATTTAAGCTTAAACATCATGTCTGTACCAGAGATGGACAGCAGAAGAGGAAAACAACCTTATTCCGGGTAAGATTCCTATTAACAACAAAACAAAACAAAGTGGCCTTTTCTCTAGTGGTCCTAATTAGTTTCTACAAAACAGTACCCAAATTAGAAGAGATTTATCAACCACCTGAAACATAAACACGCATCAAGAAAAGATGCTTTTTTCACCAGGTGTGGTGATACATGCCTGTAATCCCAGCACTCAGAAGGCTGAAGCAGGAGGATTCTTGTGAGTTTCCCCAAGGCCAGCCTGGGCTACAAAGTGAGCTCAAGGCCACCCTGAGCTGCATAGCGAGACTCTGTTGAAAGAAAGACAGACAGACAGTCTGCCACATAGCCCCGTGGATTAGCCCCGTGGATTAAAGTGCCTGCTTAGGCAGATGCAGCGACTGGGGTTCAATCCTTTGCGTGCTGTGTTGACCCAGTGACTGGGAGACTGAAAAACAGGACGATGACTACGAGTGAGATCTGCGTAGTGAGACCCTGTACTAAATACATTTAAAAAAAAAAAAAAGGAAGGAAGGAAAGAAAGAAAGAAAAGGCGCTTTAAAGCTGGGTGTGTTGGAGGCTGGGGAGATGGCTCAGTGGAATAAGCACTTCCCCGGCAAGCACAAGGGTCTGAGTTTGATCCCTGGTTCCGCAAAAAAAAAAAAAAAAAAAAAAAGCAAGCTGGGTGTGGCAGCACACCCCACTAGCACTTTAGGAGAAGAGGCCCAAGGACTCCAATTCCAAGTTAGAGCCCAGCCTGGGCAACTTGGGGTGTGTGTGTGTGTGTGTGTGTGTGTGTGTTGCTTTACTCCAAGTCTGGAGGACAGCTGGCAACAGAGTAAACCAACCTGATCATGAGAGATTCCAGTAGCTCTGCCATCAATTTTTAAATATGATTTAAATTCAATCCCCTACCCCATATCTAAATTCTTTTTTACCTGGAAAAGAAAACTCAAGGGAACTGGGTGGCTAGTCTTATAACCTAGATACAGTTGCACTGCAACAGGTCAGAAGACCCATGTCACTTGAGCAGTGACAATTATGCCATGAGGACAGATGTCACACAAACACCAGCAAGGGGTTATCATGCCAAAGAGCACAGAAAAACGTATGTGCACTGCGCTCCATTTACAACCTGTATCAGAAGAAAAGAACAGAAAATAAGCTCCAAGAAATAAGACATGCACAAGAGAAGCTTCATCAAAACATGGGGTTGAACTTGTTTACATAGCTCCAGTTGACATAACATGATTGGTTCTATGACGGGCATCCCCCATCCCATCAGAAGAGGAGGGACAGTTTTCTCCAAGGAGGAAAAATATTTTACTTGGTACAGGGTAAACATTCATAATTTTAACTGGCATGTATATGAAAAACGTGTTCGAGAATACGATCAACAGTCCCACTAATCGGTTTTGAAACTGTCTCATTGCTATTTGTTTCTCAATAAAAGTATTTTTAAAAAAGAGAATACGAGCAACAAAATCATGACTTCATAGATACTGTTTAGACTGAACGAGTATAAAAAACAGAATCGCTTTTTACACAAATGTTAAAGTAGGCTGCACAGAATAGGGACAGAAAGTAGAGAGCAGCTGTGAGGAGCTGCGGAGACTGGAGCGAGTGCTGAAGAGCAAAGCGTTCTTTCTGAAATCAAAACTGTTCTGGAATTTCGCACAACTGTGTGAATGAGTTAAGATGAAGGTTTAAAAAGGGCGGGCCTCAAGGTAATTCAATGGAACAGTGTTACAAGGAGACTGCACAAGGGAACACAGCGGTGGGAGTGAAGTTTGGGAACCGTTCCTGACAACGAGGAAGGCGGCACCGGCAGTGCAGACGTGGCCGCCAGTGTCAGGCCCGGAGGCGAGGCTTGGCCTCGGCTCTCCGGAGCCAACTGTCCGCTCCGGGCAGGAGGAGGCCGCCGCGGAGGGCCCTCCACTTTCCTTTACGGATGCGAGTCTGCCCCCTTTCCCCGCGGTCCGCACAGGACCGACGCCAGGCCCTCTCCCGCTCTAGGCGCGAGCCGGGGCCGCCACCCCTTTCTTCTCGCCGCCTCCCGACCCCAGGCCTCGTCCGCGGCCAGCACCTCCGACAGCTGTCCCTCGCCCCTCGCCGCACGGCCCCTAGGCCATCCTCGCAGGCTGCTCCCCAGCGGCCCCGCCGGCTTCCGTACCTGCCTTCCGAGTGCCACCCTCCCAGCGGCTGGAAGTAGGGCCGTCGCGCTGCTCACGCCGGAGGGCCATGTCCCGGGGGCCCGGGCCCCTGCCCGAGCCCCGGCCGGCAGCCGAGCCCTCAGGAGACGCGGCTCCGGCAGCGCAACGCGGGGCCCGTCCGGAGGGGAGGCTTCGGCTCCGTGGCCCCGCGGCGCGCAGGCGGGTCCGCGCCCACGCCGGCACGTGACCTTCGCTACGCGGGCGTCCGCCGGCACGCACGTCGCGGCTGGAGGGCGGGGTAAGGCGCAGGGAGGAGGGTGCGAGTTGGTTTCGTCGGAACCGTCCGGCCCAGTGTAATTGGAGCCGCATTTGGTCATCTTTTGCTTTTATTAATCTGTAAAACGGTAGTGATTATAATAAACATAGTAAGCTCACAAGATTATTGAATTTGTGCATAGGTTACTAAGCGAATGGTTGACTTTTTTCGTAATTATGAGCTATTGTTTTTGCTTCCATTTTACCTATATCGCTGTCCCACAGGAACACCTGCCATACTTGGCAACTTGAGTTTAACGGGATCATCTTATACGACTTCGACTTCGCAGGTCACACACTGCTTAACTCCAGGGATCACCACGTCATGTAGCCATTTAATGGAGCTTTACTTGACTTGAATAGTGCGTCACTCATCCAAATAGCACCCGGCGTTACCAGGTCTTTGGCTTCCTTTCTATCCAATCGGGTGCTCATCTACACCACTTGGTGTCATCATGGCCATAAACAGCCCCATTTCCCAAGTGTTCAATGCAATGCCCTATTCAAAGTCTCTTAATTTTTGTGGCTTATGTGCCCCTCGCCCCATATTTTTCTTTCTTGAGACTTCCTGCTTCATATCTACCCTATCCACTGTAGGTTCCAGGGTTCATTGTTGTATTATAAATTTGTCGTTGTTGTTTCGCAGTGCTATCACTAAGCTACAACCACAAAGGTTCTTAAAATTTTACCATCAGGAGGGCTGAGATAGCATAGTACAATAAGTGCCGGCCTGGCAAGCGCAGGGTCCTGAGTGTGATCCTGGGTACCGCAAAAATAAAATAAATCATCATGAGGCAACATTTCACTAAATTGCACAGGGTAGCCTAAAACTTTCTATCTTTATGTCAACTAATCCCTGAGTAGCAGGGATTAGTTGTGGATCACTATACCTGTTTTTTAAAATACCCTCCCTCCCTTTTATGAGACAGGGTCTCAGCTGCCCTTGAACTTGCCATGTCGCCTAGGCTGGCCTCGAACTTGTGATCTTCCTGCCTCAGTCAGATTATAGGCAGGTGCCACCATCCCGAGAATAAAGTCTTTTTTTTTTTCCCCTGAAAAGTCTTCCAAGTCATGAGAAAAAAAAAAAAATTAAAGTTATTTATTTTTGGTCTTTTTTTTTGAGGTAGGGTCTCACTATGCAGTTCAGGCTGGCCTTAAACTCAATTGTGGCCCAGGCTGGCCTCAAACTGGTAGCAAGCCTTCCTGCCTCAGCTTCCCTTCCCACATGCTGGGATTGCAGGCATGTACCACACCTGACCTACACTGACTTTTAAAGTGAATACTTCATTGAATTAAGGTATCAGCCAAACACGATGACACATTCCTATAATCTCAGTACTTGTGAGGCTGAAGCAAGGAGATCATGAGTGTGAGGGCCACCTAGGCTACAGTGAGAACCTATCTCAAAGAAAAACCTCTAACATTACAAATACAATTAAGAAATCCCCAAACTCAATTCTTCCTTAATTTCAACTGACTTGCTGAACATGGTGGTAAGTGTCTGTAAACCCAGCACCTGGGAGGCAGAGGCAGGAGGAGCCTTGGGAGTTTGAGGCTAGCCTGGGCTACACGAGTTCAAAGCCAGCTTGAACTGCATAGTGAAACTGTCTCAAAAGGACAACATATAAACAAATTTCAACTGACTTCACAAATCTGTTTTTTTTTTTTTTTTGTTTTGGCGGAACTGGGGATTGAACTCAGGCCCTTGTGCTTGCTAGAGAAGCGTTTATTCCACTGAGCCATCTCCCTGGCCCTGACAAATCTATTTGTAAATCTAGCACATTACAACACTACTTAGAGCTCTTTTTTTGGGGGGGGGGGCCAGAACAGGGAATTGAACTCAGGCCCTTGCACTTGCCAGGGAATCGCTTATTCTACTGAGCCCCCCCCCCCCCCCCCAGAGCTCATTAATAAATCTAATTAAAATCCTTGAGCAGTTGAAATTGTTTTAGTACTGAAAATTGAACCCAAGATCTTACAAATGCTAGGCAAGGGCTCACCACTGCACTACATCCCCAGCCCTTTCTAAATTTTGAGACAAGGATTTACCGACATCTTGACTTCAGCCTAATGAGGGCCTTGCTAGCCCACACTTGAACTACTGATCTATGGCAAAGGAGATAATAAAAGTATGTAATTTACACAAATAGCAAGTGACTGAAAATCTCACCCAAAACAAGCACTCTTCTCCATCGCCAACTCTCAGTCACTACTTCATGTTGAATACATTTTCCAACAGCCCTCAAGGGTCACAGCATGACAATAGGTAGCTCCAGGTCTCACACTTCACCTTTAGATATTACCTGCTCTGCTTCATGCGTGGTATATATCTCTTCCATCCTGTGATTATGATAATTTAACTTTTATTTATTTTTCATCTTTTAAAGAAATCTTTTTATTTACTTGGTACAGTGGCAGTGTGTGGTACCGGGGATCAAACCAGGTCCTTGAGCTTCCCAGGTAGGCGCTTAGACCACCAAGCTATCCCCCAAGGCCATGCATTTTACTTTTAAAATCTTCCTTTCTTCCTCTAACCCTCAATCAACTGCAGAGAATCACTGATCTACCTAGTAGTTGGTTTGTATCTTCCAGAATTCTACATGGATGCAATCATATTGTAGCTCATTTTTTTGCCCAAGTTGTTTCACTTAGAATAATTATTTCAAAAGCAACCCAGGTTGTTGCATGAATCAAGTTTACTCTTTCATTGCTGAGTATTTTTCTTATTATATGGCCACACAATTCATTTTATCAATACTTGAAAATTTTACATGTGGGATAAGAACACAATTGCTAATGTGTCTGCTTTATTCCAGTTGTTAGGAAAGCCTAACATGTCTCAACTGAACAGCCTTTACATTTTTAAATGGCTAAAAAATAAGATACTTTGTGGCATATACAAGTTAAATAGGCCAGGCATGGTGGTGCATACCTATAATCCCAGGACTCGGGAGGCTGGGGAAGGAATGCCACGAGGCTGCATAGTGAGTTCAAGGTAAGCCTGAACTGCAGTGAAACCGTCTAAAGAAAAAAAAATAGAGAAGTTCCAACTCAGTGTCCATAGTTTTATTCAGTCATGCTCATTCATTTACCTATTGTCTACAGCTGCTTTTGGGCTACAATGGTGGAGCTCAGTAATTCTAAGAGATATATGACCCACATAACATTACCTGTCTCTTTACAGGGTTTGATAAACCCCTACTTTTGGTTTCAGTATTGAAAACTGGGGGTGTAACTCAGTGGTACAGTATAAATACCCAAAGTAATAAAAGAATGGGCATAGTAACATACACCTGTAATCCTAGCACTTCGGGAGGCTGAGGCAGATCACAAGTTCAAGCCCTGCCTGGGCAAGTTAGTGAGAGTCTAGGTCAAAATAAGAGGAACAAGGACTGGTGACATCACTCAATGAGAAGGCCTTGGGTTCAAGCCCTGATGCCACACAAAGGAGAGAATATAGACTTCAACTATTTATAAGGTAACTCAGCTAAAAGTTTTTACTACTTTCATTCATTCCATTTCTAGTGATCTTAGTTTTGGTTTGTAGTGGTGCATAACTGTGAACAGCACTCAGGAAGCTGAGGAAGGAGGAGCTCGAGCTTGAGGTCAGTCTGGGCTACAAACTAATACCTATTTCAAGATAAAGTTTTGTAGCTCCAAGTTTTTGTGTGGCCACTTATCTAACAAATTTCCTTTAGCAATTTTTGTAGAGCAGGTGTTCTGGTAGTGAATTTAGGCTTTTCCTTGAGAAATGCTTTATTTCTCCTTTACTTTCTTTTTTTCTTTTCTTTTTAAAAAATTATTTATTTTGTGTGTGTGTGGCCAGTTCAGCCCATCAGGGGGTGGGGCTGGCTGGCATGTGGTGCTGGGGGATTGAACCGCGGTCCCTGTGCTTTGCTTAGTTTAGCTTGTTCTAAGTAGGTGCTTCAGACCACTGATCCATCTCACCAGCCCCTCTCCTTTACTTTCAAAGGTACTTTTAACCGATTATAGGAGTCCAAGACTGGGTTAAGTTTTTCCTTCCAGTATTAGAGTCACTCTGGTTGCTGGGCATGGCACTATACACCTGTAGTCCCAGCACTCCCAAGGGCAGGGAGACTGCTGAGTATGAGATCAGCCTGTGCTACAGTGAGTTCAAGATCAGACTGAACAATATATAGTGTGACTCTCTCTCTCAAAGTCATTCTGTTATGTTCTAGCTCCTATGTTTTGGTTCCCAGTGTCTGTTACTCTTAGCTATTTTTTTTTTGTATTTAGTACCAGGTCTACAGGGTCTCACTACAGAGATCAGACTGGTAGTGATCCTGTTTTCAGCCTCCCAAGTGCTGGGATTACAGGCACATGCCACCACACCCAGTCTCAACTGCCATCTCAGCATGCCCTAGGGACAGGGCTGGCACAGCACGCCAGACATCAAACTCTTCTTTCAAAATGTCTTTTTCCCCCTCTGGCTAAGATTTTCTGTCTTACCATTTTGAATATGCTCAGTTGTCTTATGCACAAATTTGTTCTGCTTGGATATGAATTTTAATGACTTTGAGGAAATTTCCAATCTTTTTCAACTGTTTCTACCCACATTCTTTCTTCTGGGAAAGAACCACACATGTAGACCGTCCTTGTTGAATTCTTGGATGCTGCTCTTTTGCCCAGTCTGGGTTGTTTCCATTGACCTAAGTTCACTGCTTTTCTGGCTCTGTCAAGTCTAGTGATGAGCCCACTGAGATCATTTTCCATCTATTAGTTTTTCTCACTTTGACCACTTTGTTAATTCTCAGTTCCCATTTCTGTTGTGACTATTTCATCCCTTGATGCTGGGACTAAACTCAGAGCTGATTTATAGCTACCCAACTCTTGACAATACTTTGGGCCTTGCATGTAGTTTCTTTGAAAGAGATAGGCTCTTACTGCAGTTATGC